CCCATCGAAGGGAGAAAGATGGTGAGATTCCACATTGGTTGGAGATTAAAACGAAACATTTTTTTACAAAAGTGTAAAAAAATTTTCCTGATAGATATGTTGTGAAACTGTAAGATTAACGATGATACGTAACGTGTAAAAACGGATGTTATTTATTAGTTGTACAATGGACTTGTGTTGTTACATTACACTTTTACAGATTGGACTATAGTGTCAATTTCATAAAATTTCATTAATTTTTCACGAACAAGTGTTTATAGTCATTGAAAATTTACAAATATTTTTATTAACGACTTTATCAAATAAACAAAAGTTATAGATTAAAAATTTCAATCATTTTTTAGATTCTAAAGTAAAAATCGTATTACTTTCACGAATTTGTATTGTAATTTCCAAACCTTATTAGTCTATATACATCATTTAGTCTTATTTACAAAGCGAGAATAATTTAATTATTAATGTTAAATATATATTTTGAATAAATTATTTTATATGCAAAAAGTGTGGAAATTGACATTATCATGATATATCTGTATAATTGAAACGTCGATTCACATTCGAACCCCCACCTCCCAATAGAATTTTTATATTTTTTAAATCAATTTCCTTAATTGTTAATTTGTGTCGTTCGTTATCCTCAGTATTATCTCCTTCCAAATTGACCGCTCAACCCAGCCCTCTCTCCCATCACTGCCGGTACTTGTTTCCCGGAGGCCAGAAAGCCCTGCGCTCGAAGGGATCGAAGCTTACTCATCTCAATCCAACAAAGCCCCTCCTGCACCAGTACGTTCCCTCCCACTCTCTTCGTTTTCTTCTTCTGCATTTCATCGTGTATGAAAGGAAAATGAAACTACTAATTGCAGCGGATCACAAGGATCAATAGTTGACATTAACTGCTGCTAGAATTGTGCCATTCGTGTTAGGTGTTTAGCAGAGATATTATGTGTAAGTATTTCATGTGGAGTGTGAATTTTCTTTACCAAATGTTATTTTTGTAGAAGCTGATTGAGAAAGAAGATTGAAGCGGTTCAAATAAGAATTGGGAATAATGTCTGCGACGCTGTTGTCTTATTACAACCCAAGTCTAGCTTGTAATTACGGGAAGATGGATGCGAAACGCATTGCATTCGGACAGTTACGCTCTATTGGAAGGAGAAACAATGGCCATCGCAACCTTACTGTGTTTGCCGCTACAGAAGGGTCTGCAAAATCGAGCGAGTCTGAAGAAACAATTCCTTCTTGGGCCAAACCTGATTCCGAGGAGCCTCCTCCTTGGGCAAGGGAGGAAGGCAAAGAAATTGGAACTCATCAGGGATTTCAGGTCCCTTTCTATGTTTACTTACTCGCCTCATCTATCACGGCAATTGCTGCTGTAAGCTTCCCTCTAAATACAGACTTGTTTTTTGCATTTTGGTTGTTTATTTTTATACCGACTTCTGTGCTACTTCCAGTTTGTCCAGAAATTAATACAAGTATTGAAAGCTTACTTCTGAGTTACTATTCAAGCCAAGAATGAATGATATCATTATTGAAAGTGTTGAAGGAATGACGCCTCCTCTATTTTTACATAGATTTATTTAGATTTACTTTACTATTTAAATTTACAGAATTTATTTAGATTTACTAGTTTCTAGAATTTACTTAGTCTTTCTCCCTTATCAAAATGACATGCAATTCTCTTAAACGGAATAAGAAGACATAGCAACATGGTATCATGGTATCAGAGCTGGTTTTGTGTTCCCACTAGGATTTCCTTCAAACTCTAGAAGCCTTGAACTTTCATTTGTGTAAGAGTAAAAGTCCCTTTGCAACATCGACTTTCATTGGAGTGGCTCTTGCGTCATTTGTAACAGTTAGGAGAGTGATTACCAATCAATCCAAAACTTAAGTTGATGGGTTGCTAATTACACCAATACTTTAACATGATGAACAAACAATTTAATGCATTGAAGCGGTGGAGCCTGTTTGTGTGCAAATTTATTTCTTTAGCAATGTATGATCAAGTTTGGTGCTACGGACACTATTTCTAATTGAAGTCGTTTGTATGTTTATTGGAGCGACTTCCAAAACTGCAGATAGGTTCTGTATTTGAGTACGTCAACCAGAAGCCTGTCTTTGGAATTATAAATTCAGACAGCATATTTTACGCTCCATTGCTTGGATTTTTCGCATTTACAGGCATTCCCACTGCTGTAAGTTCCTCTTTCTTCATTTTTTTGACATTTGTGAAGGGATTATCATATCTTTTCGTGTGCATTTATCATACCATGAAATTATAACACTAACCTTTTGCGTCTCTCTAGTGAACATAAATATGAAGTACCCATCTTTCTGGTTTTTTGGGGGACGGGGGAGCAGAAAATTGGATATAAATTTTTTTTAACTAAACCTTGTGTCCTCTTCTCTGAGTTGCGTCATTTCTTAGCTAGGAACCTTGCACAGAAGATGTCATATTCTGTGTCAACTGCATAGGGGTAATAAGCGGAATGGCAATGCCATTCCAAAAATATGAGCTCCCACTTACACAAGGCTCTTTGTCTAATTTCTGGAGACAGGCATTCCTTTGGTTCAAATCTGTTGAAGTGGCTAATAAGGAAGCTGAGGATCAAGACAGAAGGGATGGGTACTCGTAGAATACTTTCCCAAACACGAATGTATGGTCCCTTGGAAGTAGTAACGCTGTTTAGGCCTTTTTTTTTTTTTTTTTTTTTTTTTTTTTTTTTTTTTTTTTTTTTTTTTTTTTTTTT